CTTTATCGGATGCGAATGTGAGTAATTTATTCACATTCGTTGGCTAAGATATAGGCGATAGAGGAGTATCCAATTTTTTTATACGATTAGAAATTTCGTCGCGTAGATTATTGCTCGAAGAAAATATTTTGTAACGTCGGTGCATTCAACGGTTATTATGAGGGATTTTCTTTTTGTTTTTCCCAGATTGAGATTGTTTGACGATTGTTATGTTTTATTCCTTTAATTGGATGGGAGGTCTATATCGGAGGCGAATGTCATTTACATTGTCATATTTGTTGACTAAGATAAAGGCGATTGAAGTGTATCCAATTTCTTTTTACGAATTGAAATTTCGTCGCATGGATTAAAGCTCGAAGATTTTATTTTGATACATCTTTCAAGGAACGGGTATTTATGACTAGATTCTTGTTGGATTTTTCTAGAAGTGGAGTGCTTGTCGATGGAGATTTAATTTGCTTTTTTTAGATGGACCGCCCGTATCGGATGCAGATGTAATATACATTGTCATATTCGTTGACTAAGATAAAGGCGATTGAGGTGTATCCACATTCTTTTTACGATTCGATATTTTGTCTCATAGATTAAAACTCGATGAATGTGTTTTGAAACGGCAGAGAAATTAACGGTTTTAATGAGGGATTCTTTTTTGTCTTTCCCAGATTGAGATTGCGTGAAGATTGTAAAGGTTTTATTCCTATAATTGGATCAAACGTCTTTATCGGATGCGAATGTGATTAATTTATCCACATTCGTTGGCTAAGATATAGGCGATGGAAGAGTATTCAATTTCGTTTAACGATTAAAAATTTCCTTGCATAGATTAAACCTGGAAAAATGTATTTTGATACGTCAATGCATTCCACGGTTTTATAGAGTGATTCTCTTTTGTCTTCCCCAGATTGAGATTGTTTGAAGATTGTTAGGTTTTATTCTTCCAATTGGATCAAACGTCTTTATGGGATGCGAATGTGAATAATTTATTCACATTCGTTGGCTAAGATATAGGCGATAGAAGAGTATCCAATTTCTTTTAACGATTAGAAATTTCGTCGCATAGATTAAAACTCGAAGAATGTATTTTGAAACGGCAGAGAATTTAACGGTTTTTGTGAGAGATTCTCTTTTGCCTTTCCCAGATTGAGATTGTGTGAAGATTGTAAAGGTTTTATTCCTATAATTGGATCAAACGTCTTTATCGGATGCGAATGTGATTAATTTATTCACATTCGTTGGCTAAGATATAGGCGATAGAAGAGTATCCAATTTCTTTTAACGATTAGAAATTTCGTCGCATAGATTAAAACTCGAAAAAATGTATTTTGTTACATATTTCAAGGAACGGGTATTTATGACTAGATTCTTGTTTTGTTTTTGTAGAAGGAGTGTGCTAGTCGATGGAGATTTAATTTGCTTTTTTTGGATGGAGCGTTTTTATCGAATGCGAATGTGATTTAATTTGTCACTTTCGTTGGCTATGAAAATGGCTTATGAATTCTATCCATTTTGTGTTTATAGATTAAAATTTGAGGAATGTATTTTAAAACGTCAGATAATTCTACGGTTTTAACGAGGGATTGTCTTTTATCTTCTCCAGATTGAAATTGTTTGAAGATTGTAAGGTTTTATTCCTTCAATTGGATCAAACGTCTTTATCAGATGCGAATGTGATTAATTTATTCACATTCGTTGGCTAAGATATAGGCGATAGAA